TGTAGCCAAGCATTCGAATACTATTAGAGTCAACATATTACTCAATTCCCACTGAATCTGTGACCCAAAGGAAGAAAAATGGAATGGCAAAGAGTTTGCAGATCACCTCCTCCTTCGTGTTTCTGATCACTCAGATTGAACTTCTAGAAAGTAGGAAGAAACGAATAACTCATTGGATGACTAGAAATTACCACAGAGGCACAAGAAATATGAGAAATAAAGAAAATACCTCTCTCCCAAGGGAGGAAAAAAGTAACTCCTCTTCATCCACAGACAATACAATGGAACTCATGGAAATGTTTGATAAAGAGTTTAGAATATTCATAGTGACAAAGGTAACAGAGATGGAAGAGAAGAGAGACAATGAACTTCAGAAGAAAAGAGCTGATGAGTTCCAGGAGGTGAGGAAGTTCTTGTGAGAGCTGAAAAAAGAAATACACACCATAAAGAAGAGTCAAATGGAACTATTGGAGATGAAGTCTATAATACAGGAAGTCAAAACCTCTCTTAAAAGTATTAAACACAGATTAGATCATACAGAAAATCGAATCTCAAATATAGAAGACAGAATTACTGGCCTAGAAAAATCCACCACAAAGACTGAGAAAATAGCCCCTCAAAAAGAGAATAATATGTGAGAAATACTAGATACCATTAAAAGTCCCAAAATCTGGATAATCAGTATCCCATAAGGTGAAGAGACTAATCAGGGCATTGATAATCTATTCCATAAAATCTTGGAAGAAAAATTTCCAAACCTTGAGAAGCATTCAAAGATCCAGACCCAAGAAATACAAAGGACCCATTTAGAATCAACCCAAGAAGATCTTCTCTAAGACACATTATAGCCAGATTGACCAAAACCACTGACAAAGACAAGATACTCAGACTGGCAAGAGCATTAGCCATCAGGCTAACAGCAGACCTCTCATCTGAAACAATGAGAACAAGGAAAGAATGGGAAAATACATTCAAAGTGTTGAGTGAAAAACAATTTCAATCAAGAATACCATACCTGGCAAGATTCTCCTTCATATGAGAAGACAAGTACATTCTCAGATAAACATTTTCAGATAAAACCTGAAAGGATTTACCAACACCAGACCAATTGTCCCAGAAGTTCTGGAGTGCTATCTCAGTAAAACTAAAGTCATAGATGCAGAAATAAGAGTTCTAAAACAACTAAGAAAATGGCCAGCTTAATGGTAGGAACAAATCCAGAGTTGAACATTATCTTCCAGAATTTAAATGGGAAGATCAGACCACAACAGAAGATAGATTAAGTACATGATTCTGAAATTGTAAAATAGAATTGTATGACTTTTGACTAAAACATTATTGATCTTCTTTTATGCTTTGTTTTCCAAAGTTAAGGATTTTTGTCTCCTCTTGAGTTGTTGACAGGTCTATGTACCTATTTGAACAGAATCCTAATCTGTTTCCTGGCTTTAAGTCTTAAGCAAAGTTCTCTTAACATTTTTTTAATTTATTAAAGCTAAAACTTCCTTTCTTGAAATTAAAAAAATATTTAAAAAATGCCCATTTAATGACCACAGTGAGCTATGAAGCCTCAGCTAGGTGCTACTTTATAGTATATTTATTCTACTCACAGAGTTTCATGCCTAAAGTCAATATGTGTTCACCAATATGTATATATCAGCTGAACTTGCTATTGAAAGTATTTAGATTAATTATTTTGTGAATCAATGAAATGTGGGAAAAAATAAAGGAATGGAAAGCAACTGTAGATACCAGAGACAGTGTGAGAGGAGGGTGGGTAATGGCAAAGGGTGAGAAATAGGGGGAAATATATAAATATATACAAGAAATGGAAAATTATTTGTTGACAATAACATACATGATTAAGCCACTATACGGTGTATTCTGGATGGGAAATCTCATTTTGTATGCTCTGATGATGTTCAGTGAAAGCATATAAAATAAATAAATTAGTTAAATAAGTAATTGTATTAACCATGCGTTTCTGATGCTTTCACATCTGGGGCCTTGCTGACTCTTCAGAGATTGACCTGAAGATAGCCTGTGGGATAGCCAATGCCTAGAGATAATAAATAATTCAACTGCCAGCACATCTTTGAAATTCATATCAACCGATCTGGAGTCTATACCCCAACTATCTCCTTTATCCAGCTCTCAGAGGGTTCTCACACTCTGGGTTATCATCCACCTGACCTAATCACCCCAGGGGCAGGATCTAGGCCACAAAAGATAGCTCCAATGTCATAGAACCTGCTGAATTGATTCAAATCCGTCTATTCTAAGCCTTCTTACCCTGTCTTGCTCATTCTTTCTCCCAGAAACCACAGCAGAGGCTCTTGCCCACATTTTCCCCTATTCTTTCTACCTGCAGATCAACCCTGGTGCTTTCACATGTGGTGCTACATGGCATAGCATGAGCCCTCCTTTTGGGAACTGTGAATACCAAACTCTTTTCAGTGGTAGTCATGAACTGATCTATTGGCCTCGCTATACCTGACTAATAATAAAACCTGTTTTAAACAGTTATCTCAAATATCTGTGCAGTCTCAAGCGTGAGTCCTCCATGTAAGTTAACTTAAGAAACAGCCTGAAAAAAGAAGGCCATCTTGTATTATATATTAATTTTAAAAAGTAACAAATGGGGCCATCAGGTGGTGTGATGGTTAGGGCACTGTATTCCCACATGGCTGATCAGAGTTTGAGTCCCAGACCTGGTGATTTGCTTTCTTACTTTCCCTTTCTCTCTGTGTCTGGTCTCTGGCCAAATTAAAAAATAATAATAAATAAATCTTTAAAAAAGAAAGACATTTGAATTAAAAAAAGTAATAAACTTTGTTTTTTGTTAGCACATTATAATTTTAAAAAATATTGTATGAATTATTATTATCACCTTTAATGAACTGAAGTTCAAAGATAGAAAGAGGTTATCACAAGTTCAGAGAGTCATATACTTAGAAGAGGCAAGACTCAAAACCAGACTTTTCTGTCATTTCATTGAGTCCTGCCCCATCTGTACTATTGGGTCATTGGAAAAGTCATGATGCATTTTTGCATAGAAAACACAGGAAAAAATACATCATGACTTTTCTGACGACCCATACTTTCTTTTTATCATAGTCTTCCAAATCTTTTTCAAAGTTTGATTGCATAAAATTACCACTTCGTTTGTACTTTAAAGAAAGGCTATCAACTATTTCCAGTAAGGGTCAGTAAATGTTTCCAGAATGAGAAATAACTGAGAGGTACGTAAACAATGCAGCCTTGGGGAAATGAATGCTGTCTCAAGAAGAGATTATCCAAAGACAGAGAAAGATCTAGAAACTGCAGAGGTGTATAATACCAGGTTTGATTGGTAACCCCCCTCCCACAGAGGGTGCATATGCTTGCTGGAGAGAGAGAGAGAGAGGGAAAGTGAAAAAGCATGCCGCCTGGGGAACGGTCATGCGGCTATCCCTCCTTCATTTCTCTCTCCTTGTGGATTTTAGGCAAACATGCACACACAAACCCGGTTTGATTTTCAAGCCTCTGGGTCTGAGACACTAACTGAACAGTTCACCATGTAGGATCTAAACATCTTAACTGCCTACCACTGGCTGGCCCAAGGAGATCTGATCTTTAATGAATGGATTAGAACATTTTGAAATCTTTCCCCACAAATTCCATTTTTTGTCATGAATTCTTAGAATTATCAGAAACAAGACTGGCTGTGAAGAAGACAAGAAAAAAATCTGGCAGTTTTGGAGAACTGCAAGTTGAGAAGGGATCATTCAGTTCAATACTATAAACACATAAATAAGCATATAAAGTAATCTATAGCAAAATTGGTATTGACTATCATCAAACAGCAAGATATACTTTAAAGGTCTTAAAAGACCTCTGTGGTCAGTTCTGACCAGTTATTGTGGGGGAGACTGCAAGTAAAATAATTGAAAAATCAGTCCAATAGGGAATAAAATATCACTTGGGGGTTTTGCTATATTCCTGCAGTTTAAGCAAGAAAGAGAAAAGTTGGGAGAAAGGGAAGAAAGAAACACAGTGAAGTGAATCAAAAGACTTGGACATTTAAAAAATGATAGAAGAGTTGGATGGTGAGTATTGAGAAAAGACTGGGTGAAGGGAGTTGAAGACACCATTTGGGTTGATGACTGGCAGCTGTTAGAATGTCCATGAAGGGTAGGAAGAAGGAACAGCTAGCATGGCCAGAGGACCTCAGCGGGATACCAGGAAGAGTTGCTGACTGTAAATGTCAGGAGCTGCGGCTTACAGGACCAAAGGGAGACTTCTGGGCTGTGCTTATCCTAGCAATGTTTCTCAGCCTCAAGCGGGAGGCAGTTTGGGTGGTTGAACGCAGCCTGGGGTGGACTGGATGACCTCCTCAGGTCCTTGGTCTCATGCTGCTGAGAGGCGTTCTGCACACTGCTGCTTTCATAACCTGGTTGCCAGAAGCTGACTCTCAGCCCAGGACTGTGGAGTTTTCCCCACAGAAAGGAACAACCAAGCCTTTCACTCTCTGTTCCTCCCTTGGATCAGTCCTTAGGTGTGCATCTGTGGTTTTTCAGCTCTTCAGCACTTAGGCACTCTTCTTTTGAGCCAAGAGCCTCCGGGGAACAATGTAGCATCTGTGTGTTGACAGTAAGAGCCTGTGGGCCAGAGTTACTCAGCCAAACTCTCCCTCCGTCCCACATGAACTGGATTGCACACCTCACCTGCAATAATCCACAGTTTAGTCAGTCCCAGCCTACCCCATGCCAAGTGCCCCCTTCTCTTATCCATTCCCCAACCTTTTACCTAATTTGCTTCTCAGCTTCTTTGCCACATTTATGCCAATCCTCATGCAGGATGGTCTCTACTCACCACCCATCCCACCCACTGAGTGAACAATAACATGTTAGTGGTTTATGGCCTGATTCTAAACAGTGGGCACCGAAGAGCAAGGGACAGGCTGCTGAGGGTGGCTGGGTATTTACAAAAGGTTTGGCCTGCAAAGAGATGCCAGTCTTTTCCTATAACATTATTGCTTTTTATTTATTATGTGGATTGTTGGTTTACACGGGGAGTTGGAAATGCTAAACAAGCACAGAATTTTTATGGGTCCGTTTCTGCTGAGTGCAGAGACTTGGAGACATCATTTAACCTTGGCAAAGGACCATCCTTCTGTACTTGGCCCTGAGTCAGAGAGAGGCATGTGCTTATGAAGAAAGGTAGAATTTCAACCCTTGGGTAGCTGTCAATAGCACTGTGAGTAAGTGATGTGCAGTGTACAAATGCAATATTAAATGACAGATAAGAGCAATCTCTGTATGAATGTCTTCCCTTCATGGAGGTGCCCCAGTATTTTGTTTCAAGCCTCCATCTAATAGTACTATAGATGGGCCAATACTCTATGAATGCATGAGAGGACATTGAGTGGGTAGTGAGAGTATAGGAAATTTAAAAGAAAGGAGAGTACATATTAAGATTTTAAGGAACAAAATCTCTGTGTGTGTGTGTGTGTGTGTGTGTGTACACGTGGTTGGGAGACCTGGCGGCTCCATTGCTCAGTGTCTCGGAGGTTTGAGTTGCCTCCGTTTATTCAACCTGAAGTTGACACTTGGTAGTATGCAGTCATCTGAGGGAGAAGTCAGAGTTCCACCTTTGGAGTCTTTTCTTCTGATTCATGATTTTCTCTCTGAAAAATATAATAACACTGATATTTAGATTTGGAGTCCACTCTTGTTTCTGAGCCAGAGAGACTGGCAAACTGAGCTGTTCAGTTATTCTTGGAAGGCCTAAATCCGTCTTCAATGTTTAGCTCTTTCAATATGGAATTTACTTTATTTCCCACTGATATCTTAAACAAGATGGCAAACTCCAAAATTCAGCTCCTTTGAATAAAGCAAGACCTTTCTAATAATGGCTTTCTCTTGACTATACCCCAACAAGCATCCTGACTTTGACCCTGCATTCTCACCTACCTTTGCTTTTTTTCTTTTTTAAAGAGTTTTTACCTTAGGGCTTGTGTGCTCATCAGAGGGAGTGAGAGAGAGAGACAATCAATAAGAGGAAAGGTGAGAAATTTCCCCCCAGGGGAGATGGCCATGTCACAATCCCTTCTCCCAGAATCATGGCACACTCACCGGGCATGATTTTCAAGCCACCAAGGTACCAGACTCAAATCACAGTCGTCCATGTGGGAGTCCAGTGAGATAACCACTATAGCACCTGCTGACCTCCATACCTTTGCCCTTAATCAAATCCAGTAGAGCTCAAATAATTCTTATTTGACAGGAAACAAAAAAAGATAAAGAGGAAGGAAACTCAATTTGCTTTACCCATAATCTCATACTTACCAACAATTTCCCTTTTAGAAATCCATCACAGAATTTTTGCACATTCTCTGCGGAAACTACCGTGAAGGGCAGTGTGTCCCACTCATCATCTACAGTCCGGTAAATGGCCAAAGCTGGCAGTTGAGACTCCTTTAACTTGAAAAATGATATCACCTTCCCACTTTCCTTCATAACACTGTCCACCATGATAAAGAGAATCTGTAGTAGGAGTTTGAAAGAAAAAGAACTATGCGAGGTCCTGTGGATACACAGACACCTTGTCATTTTTGCAGGTGTCACCAATTGCATTTATGGTTTATGCCACACAAGTTATATCTTAATTGAGTTCAAATGCATTTGTTACTGTTTTGTGTGGATTTGATATTTTATAACTTTGGTGAGATTATTTAACAGCATAGAGTTGGAAGAGACTTTGGCGATTATTCAAGGGAGGAATGGTTTACAGGACTTTACTTTAAAAATAATAATAATAATAAAAAAAAGAGCAGAGAACAAGTTTTAAATTCTGCCTCTGGTACTTTCTAGCTGTGTGACGTTACTATTACTAAGATTCTCTGACACTTTGTTTTCCCATCGGAAGCATGGCTTTTATGGACAGACATTAAATGAGGGGACGCATTTAATATTTTTAGTAGTTTCTGGCATATAGTAACTACTTGATAAATGTTATCTATTTTCTAATACTGAGTCAAGCCTTCTACCTAAAGTGGAAATATTCGTTATTACATTCTAAGAAGAGGACTATCTCCATTTAGTGATACTTAGTAGTTGCAGTGTTAGGGAACCAAGCATCAGAAAGGCAGTTTATGCTGCTACCCGATGACTCTCACCACTACAAGTCATGAGAAAGGTCTCTGGTTCAACGTCCTAGTCTTAAAGTAGCTGAAGTTTTACTATTTCAGTGATGTCAAACATAGCTTTACGAAGGAGAGCAAGGGAGAAAGAAATATTCATTGGATATTTAGTAAATATCAGGGACTTGTTAAGTTTTTTTTTTTTTTATATGAGAAACCCTGATGTTGAAAACTCTAAGAAATTACAGAAAGTACTACAAATTGTGACTAATAGGTGATTTTATTTTTAGTAATTTTCCATCTCTATTTTCTCTCTACCTATTAGTGCAAGAAAAAGACTGTTATGGGAATATATGATTAATGGTGTAAGTGACCTTTAATGGTATACAATGCCATATCTTTCATTTTAAATACTGTGGTTTATTATGTTCCAGTTCTTACCATGAAAGATAATTGCTTTCCTTATTTATCTCTACTTCCCTGGCCCCATCTTCTTTTTATTTATTTATTTTTTTTTCAGTCTCTTGGTGGTGAGTTTTCAAAAAGGGTATCTCCCAACTTACCTTTCCTTGGAAGAGCTTAGCTGCCTTCCGGAATCTGTGCATGCTCTCTTCATACTCTGGGAGGCTTTTGTTCATTATCAGCAGAAGATGAATCTGAATCATGCTGTTAAACAGGCCAATTGCTGTCTGGCAAATTGAAATGTGTTGTAGTAGAATGGGAGAGAGAGAGCGAGTGAGCACATTCACAGCCACCCAGTGGAGAGTAAACTAAACATGAGTGAGAACTGTGCAGCCATAACACGATGGATCCAGCTTCCAAGATGGCTTGCAACAAGTCTCACCCTCTGGTGTGTGTTTTCTTAAGTTTTTTTTTTTTGTAATAAGGGTGTGTGTGCTTGTTGGAGAGAGACAGAGAGAGGAGAGACAGAGGAAAAGTGAGAAATCACCCACCTTGGGGGAGATGACCACGTTACATTCTCTCTCCTCCAGTCTCTTGTTGGGATTTTGGGCACTCACACACATGTACCCAGTGTGTTTTTTAAGCCCACAGGTCTGGGTGTAGGACCCAGAGTTGGCCATGTGGGATCCAGCGCCTTGACCACCGTACCACGTGCTGCCCTCCACACACACCCCCACCAAGTTTTTCATGCAACTGCATAGACTGAACTAAATAGCAAGAGGATATTGTAGACTTGATGGAATGTGACGTCCTATATTAAGTCATAAAAAACATGGTTTTTGCTCTGCTCTTTCTTGGATTTCTTACTCTAGAGAAAGCCAGCTGCAATGTAAGGAACTGCAGTGCCCGTAAGGAGAGATCCCCATGGCTAGGAGTTAGGGCCCCTTTCCAGCAGGCAGAACTGACCTGCCAGCCCTGTGAGTGAGCCATCTTGGAAGCTGATTCTCCAGCTGCCATCAAACCTTCTGATGACTGGCACCCTGACCAAGGACTCCAACTTCACAAAAAACCCTAGCTAGAGCTCCTAGCCTAGTCACTCCCACATGGTTGACCCATTAAAAACTGCAAGAGATAATCATCGAGTACTCTTTTAAGCTGCAAAATTTTGGAATAATCTCTTATATTGCAATAGATAGTTAACATATATAACATAGTAGTAACTTTTTTCCCCAAATTTCTTCATATGTCAGAGACACTTAAAATATGGCTTTGACTACATATCAGTAGTATTAATACATACCTGTGAGCACTTATGTGCCAGGCACTGTTTCCTCCTCTTTACATAGAATAACCCTCACAAACCCATTTTCAAATGAGTACCTTGAGGCAGAATTAGACTCAGTAACTCTCCCAAAGTTGTATAAATGGTGCGTGTGGAGTCACACCAGATGATCCAGCTCCAGAGTCCACACTCTTGACTTAGAAGATGAGCCTCATAAGTAGCAGGTGGCAAAACCCCATGTAAAACCCATTCAACCCTAAGTGTGGTTGAACTAGGCTACCCCAGGTAAGCAAGAAGGCAAACCCTTCAGGAGAGCAGAGTGGTGGTCCATTTTTGCTGATTAGAGATGGGATTTCCCATGAAGTCATTCATAATGAAGGGGACTGAGATGGCCCCAGCCAGTGTGAGTAGAGAAGAGAGAGGGTGAAACTATGCACTAGCTTCTTTTATTTCACTTTTGTGAAATCCTGCTACATGTCTAATTTAAACACATCTCATTCTTTTCCACCTCTCTTTTTGAATTCAGAAAGCATTGCTGTAAAACAAGCATGTACGTAAAAAAATAGAGCATGGCTGAGAAATGAGCCATTGGTCAGTCTTAGGATGGGGGGAGGGGGAAGGGATAGGAGGTAGGATTCTTCCTGAAGCTACACGCTGTTCTAGAGAGATTCTCCAGTTTTACTGGCTCCAGGGGACCAATATGCAGAAGGACCCAATGCATTCTTTCTTAAAGCTTTCTCCCTGGAATTTAAAACCAGGTTTTATATTTTACATTTGAGAGACTGGATGGTAAGTTATTGGCTCTTGTTTTATTAGGCCCTGCTACTTAAATGTAGAGTTTGTGCCCACCTTCCTAGACCACAGTTGGAGGATAATTCTTGAGAGGAGTCAAGAAAGAAATGCTAAGGAGTCAAAAGGTACAATGTCTTAACAGAAGGGATTGGGATTGGGCATAGCAGAGGTGATTAGTTTAATCCTAAAGGACAGCCTGACTTTGCCTTGCAGCCAAGCACCCAGTGGAGTGTGTGCATTAAAAGAGCATGGCGGGCTAAGTACCTGCTGTGATTTTCTGCCCGGTTGCTGCTGGTAGAAACCTGAACATCAGAGCAGATGAGAAAGCTGTAGCAGAATGGGCAGCACTCCAAATGAGAAACATATTACTTTGGAAAAATAAAAAAGTCACAATAAATATTGATCTTGCTTCTCTAAAGAAATTCTTACCTAATTTCTTCTTTATGTAATTTGCCTCCATTAGTAATATGGGACTTAAAATAGATATGCCATGTTCTGTAAGATGAGAGATGTACCAGGCGTAGGAACTCAGGAAGGCCAGTTCTTGCCCATTTCAGTTTGCCCGCAGAACTTCAGGACATGGGGCCGTAAACTCAGGGACAATAAGATCTTCTTTTTGGGTCCCACATGCACTCTTGGCAGCTCTGTACACCCAATGACCAGATGACCATGGTCTAGGAGAAGAACGCTTTCTTGACTAATGCTGCCAACACCCCAGGGGTGTATGTGTTTGGAATCTTAGTAGAAGTGGGCATCAAGTCACCACCCCACAGAGACAAACATGGTGTGAGAGGCGGACAGGAATTCAGTCAACAGGAAAAGGGGCGTTTTCTGCTGAAGGTGGTGTGGAGCAATAGAAAAACCACAGGATTCAGTCACAAAGGCCAGGCAGGAAGAAAGCAGGAACAAGTGGATAGGCTGTCTCTGAAGCTTAATTTAGTGGTCATGTAGCCTTGAGGAAGTTACTTTTCTGAAATCTTATTTCTTTTATAGTAAAATGGAAATAGAAAATATGAACTAAATTAAATTTTCTGCCTTAAATCATGCCTTTCCTGTGTGACCTTGACCAATGTTATCTGAGTCTTGAATGTTCTCTTCCATAAAATGGGGACAATAATTTCCTATCTTCTACCTCAAAAAAATTAATATGAGGATTACATGAGAAAATTAATTAAAAGTGCTTTGTAAGTTCTTTTTAAAAAGACTTATTTGCTTTTTAAAAATATTTGACAAGAGAAGGACAGAGAGAGAGAGAGAGAGAGCGCGCGCGCAAGCTGTCAGATCTGGGACTCAAATTGCAGTTGACCTTGTGGAAGTAGCCTGTAATCACACACCACCTGCCAGCCCCATGCTTTCTAAGTTCTAAAAAATGAGAACACTCATGAACTGGCCTAATCACTTAGTGGTTAAGGAAGCTGTATCCTATGTGGTCATTCGCGATTTGAATCCTGACCTGGCTGTTTGAAAAACACACTAGATGCATGTTCACGTGTACTCCAAATCCTGACAGGATGGAGAACTGGAGAAGAAGGAATTGTGCATGACCATGTCCCATTACGGGGTGCCTTCTCCCTCTTTCTCTCTGTCTTTTTTTTTTCCCTGGTTACTGTACACACCCTTTGGCAATTAAAACATGAAAATATAAAACATTAAAATATGTATGTAAAGTACAGTTATTAGAGAATGCACAGCCTTTCTGAGCTTATGTACATTACTAGAAATTAAGATTTCATCACTCCATGATCTATGACAAGGAGAATAAAAGGCAGGACATAGATAAAACTTTTTTTTTTTGGAGAGAGTTTTGCTATAGGGTGCATGCGCTCGCCAGACAGAGAGAGACAGAGAGATAGAAAGCGAGAAATCAACCCCCCAGGGGGGATGGCCACGCCGCAATCCCTTCTTCTCCATTCTCCTCTTGGGATCTTGGGCACGCACACACATGTGCCCGGCGTGAGTTTTAAGCCACCGGGTCCGGGACGCAAACTGTGGTTAATTACGTGGGAGTCCAGTGACATAGCCATTACGCTAACTGCTGGTCCCATGGACATAAAAAATTCTCTAAGTTGTAGAATGTTAGAAGATCAGAAGGTGATCAGGACAAGCAGATCAAAACCTTCACCAGACCAAGTACAGCACGAAACACCAGAGAAAGGCATATCTGCGAAGAAGGCTGAAGCACTGTGAGGGTGAGGGACCTGCTAGTCAAAGTGTGGGGTACAGGGGCTGCAGACCAGGAAGTGCTGGTCCCTGGTCCACAAGTTGGTATACACAGGAAATAACAATAGAGGTTTAGCTGTGACATCCAACGACGTGAGCAGAGTACTTCATTTTTAAAATTTCATTTGCTAGCAATTTAATTATGTTGTATTTTATAAAAACATTGGTCACTGACACTTCAGGGGGAAAGATGGACCTTCCATACTGATTGACTCCAGTTGGAGAAGTGTGCTCTAGGGTGATGCTCTGGTCACTTGCCTTCACTGAGCACGTTCAGGCAGCAAAACTGGAAAGATTTTATCAGTCACCTTCACTTTGCGTTCTGGTTGTCTTTTTTACCAGTCATTTAATAGGTAAAATATGTTTTCTGATTCATTTTCTTTGCTTATTAGGGGCAAGTTCACCAATCTGAAAGAGTTGTATTAAGAATGGTAATGTAAGCAACATACTAGGTGTTCTGTGAATAACCGTCAGAGAATCTCAACTCTGGGAGGAAACCTCTGCTGTGAAGTCAAGTACTCCACACACACACACACACACACACACACACACCGACACAGGAACTGAAGGGGCTGATATCAGGGTCGTACTCTGCATGACTATTACGTACCATAGGGTTGTACTCTGTCACCAAGTGGAGGCTGTTGATCTCAATGAAACGGCTTAATTTAGTGGCATCAATGCTTTCAAGGTCTTCACCCTCTAAATGCAGTTGTTCGTTATCCACCTGGGTGACACACACACACACACAAAAACTGTCACTTTTCTGTTTTCATTCATTGATCAGTGTTTCTGGATCACCTCATGAGAGGCGCTGGGTAAAGCTCCAAGGACAGAAAGGTAACTAAGAAATGTGCCTTGCCATGGAGGGACATGCTGTCTTGTAGGAGTCAGAGAAGCGAAGCAAAGTACCCACACAGTGTGACAGGTGTTATCACGGGGAACCGCAGGCCTACGTATCACTTTTGGAGGAGCAGATTAGTTTCCAGGAAGAGGTTACTCCTGAAAAATGGCTAAGATTTGGTCAGATGGATGGGGAAGAGGCTTTAAACAGAGTGGTATTTACAAAAGGCAAGAGATGTGAAATTGCACGTTCTGGAAGATTTAGTTAGCTCTCCATGTGTGTAGTATATGGGAAATGAGGGTGCTAGAGAAGCAGGGTGAGCAAAGTAAATAGCAGCAAAAGTCTGAAGGTCTGTGAGGTCAACACAAATACTGATAGATTCAACTCCAATCTGAGAGCAAAGGGAGCCATTGATGATTAGATTTGTGTTATATTTATGTACTCTTTTATTTTAAGAAAATAATTCCATTTACAATAGCATCAAAAAAGATTAGAATACATAAGAATAAATTTTTTTAAATATATACAAAATTTATGCAGTGACACCACAAATATTTATTTAAAAATTTAAAAAGATCTAAATAAATGGAAAGATATATGCTTGTCAATTGGGAGAGTAAATATTTTCTTAATATTTATTGTAATTTATGATTAACATGTAATCATTATACATCACAGTATTTTATTTTATTTTTTAAGGTTTTTTTTTTTTTTTGGTCATAGGCCAAGTACACTTGCCAGAGAAAGAGAGAGAGAGAGAGAGAGAGAGAGAGAGAGAGAGAGAGAGAGAGAGAAGGGGAAAGTGAGAAATCCTCCAGGATGGCCATGCTGCAATCCCTTCTCCTTCATTTTCCCCTTGGGACTTTGGTCATGTATGCAGGTAGTATGGAGGATAAGGTGACTGGACCCCACATGGCTGACTTTGTGGTTTGAGTCCCCAAACCAGCAGCTTGAAAATTACACAAGGGACATGTGCATGCCCAAGATCCTGAGAAAAGAATGGAGAAGGGATTGTGATGTGGACATCATCCCTGGGGAGTGATTTCTTATTCTTCCCCCTTGCATCTTTCTCTCCCTGGTGAATGCATGTCTTCCTATAACAAAAACTAAAATAAGTAAATAAATAAATAAGTCAGACAATGAAAGTTCTCAAAATAATGAGATTGGATTTCTGAAAACAAAGAAAGATAATCTTAACATAGTCTAGGACCATAGTACTGTATCGTGCATAAACAAATAAGTCCCCACAAAAGCAAAAACTGAATTGGAAAGAGATATTTAAAAGAGAAGATATGTCTGGGACCAGCAGATGGCATAGTGGTAACATTGCTGGACTCCCACTTGCCCGACTGTGGTTTGAGTCCCAGATATGGTGGCTTAAAACACATGCTGGGTGTATGTGTGTACATGCCTGTCCAAGATCCTAGGAGGAGAATGGAGGAGAAGGGATTATGGTATGGCCATCTCCCTGAAGGGGATGATTTCTCAGTTTCCCTCTCATTGTCTCTGCCTCTCTCTCTGTCTCTGGTGAGTGCATATGCCCTAAGGTAAAAACCTCTTTAAAAAAAAAGAGAGAGAGAGAGAGAAGACATGGTAAAGTCAGTGATTTGGTTCTTTACAAAATTCTTAATTTTAGACTTTTTAAAGTTCATTTCAAATACTCAACTAGTAACATTTTGGATTTTTTATCTGTGATCTAGTTTTATAAAATGAGTTATGGTTATAATAATAAATATATAAATGCAATATGAAACCTGTAAAGGCAACTGTCTATCAAATAACTGGCAAACTTGTATTTAAACCTATTTGTGCATAAGATAATTGAAACTGAATTTTTAGCCTTTTAGTTGGGGAATTTAAGCCTGACATTCAATATTATTATTGATATGTGTGAATTTATCCCTGTTATTTTGCTACTCTTTATTTTTTGTTCTCTTGTAATTGTTTTGTGTTCTCTTCTATTTATCTCTCTTTAATTTTCCTGGTGTATTCCTTAAGTATTTCCTAAAGAGCTGGTTTAGTTTTGGTCAATTATTTCAGCATTTATTTATCTGGGAATAATTTTATTTAATCCTTCCCATTTGAAGGATAATCTTGCCAAGAATAGTACACTTGGCTGAAATTGTTTTTCTTTCAGAGTTTTAAATATGACTTTCTGCTCTTTCCTTGTCTGCATTGTTTCAATCAGGAGTTCCGATGTTAGTCTAATGGTGTAATCTTTGTATGTACACTGACGCTTAAAGAGCTTTTTTTATGCCTTTACTTATCTCTTCGCCTTCTGGAATTCTGTCTAGAATTTCTTGTATGTCGTCCTGATTTTTAATGGTTATTTTATTCTTTTCTGTTGGTTGGACTAAATTGGAGGTTTTGTCTTCAAGTTTAGAGATTCTTTATTCTGTGTGGTCTAATCTACTGTTGATATTTTCAAGGGATGTTTTGATTTTTGGCATCATATTCTTTATTTCCAGTTCTGTCTGATTCTTTTTCAGAGTATCTGTCTTTCTATGGAGATTCTCCTTGAAGTTATGGAAGAATTTTCTTATCTGGAATTGGTTGTTTGTTTTCTCTTATGTCTCATTGGGTTTTGTTACAATGACTATTCTGAATTCTTATTCCGACACTTCTGTGATCGCTTATGTTTGATCCCTTGCTGGTAAGAAGTTATTTATTTTTTTTTTAAGAGAGATTCTTGCTATAGGGCATGTGCGTTCACCAGAGAGACAGAAAGTGAGAAATCCCCCCTTCCCCCCCAGGAGGATGGCCATACCACAATCCCTTCTCCTCCATTCTCCTCTCGGGATCTTGGGCACACATGTATGTATATATGCCCAGTGTGAGTTTCAAGCCACTGGGTCTGGGGCTCTAACTGTGGTCAGCCAAGTGGGCATGCAGCTATGTAACCATCAAGCCATCTGCGGGTCCCAATGAGGTCATTATATTTCTTTGGGTGGTGGTATTTTCTGGTTTTCTCCTGTTCCTTGGGACTCTGCTTTGATTTTGAGTCATTTGGTGACAGACTCACTTCTTCCTCCTTTTTTGGAGTATGTTTCTGTGTCTGTGTGCTCATGTGCTTCCCCACGGTGTGAGTTAGCTCTGTGCCAGTTTCCCTCCTCTGCTGTGGGTGGAGATGTGGAAACCACAGTGGGAGTTTTGGGTTTAGGTTTTCAGAGGGGAGTTTCTCTCCTTTTGTTAGCAGGGGGGACAGTGTAAGGAAAGAATTCTTCCAAACCTCATTGTCTTCCAGTGTCTGGTTACTGTATACCGAAACTTCTCTGTTGCTAATGCAGCTGGAGGTTGAGCAGTATGGTCAGATATGAGGTGGCTGTCTAATTCTCACAGTGCCTGCTGTGTGGTGTGTGGGCAGAAACAGCTCCTCCTCCCCCACTGCAAGCTGGTGGGGGGTCCCTGCTGATGTGCTAAGACTGGGTGGTCTTTGCTTCCATGTTGGTCCTTCTGTCTCTGGGACTACAGGAACTGGGTGGTGGTCCTTGAAGGCTAGAGGAGCCACCTCATCTTCCATGGCAGGCTGGGCAAGTGTCCCTGCTTGTGAAGGAAGGCTGGGCAGCCTTGGCTTGCCTGTTGCTCCTTCTGTCTCTGGAATCATTGGAACCAATTGCTAGTCCTTGAAAGTTGGTAGTCCTGAAAGTCCTCTCCTCCCCCATTGCAGGGTGGGCAAGGGTTGGTCTATGCTGATCAATCCAGACTGGGCAGCCTTTGCTTTCCAGTTACTCCTTTGATTTCTGGGACTACAGGAACCAAGAGGTGGTCCTTGAAGGCCAGAGAAGCCCTCCTCTCCCACTACAGGCTGGGCAAGGCTCCCTGCTGATGAGCTAAGACTGGGTAACCTTTGCTTTTCTGTTGCTCTTTATTATCTTTTTTTTTTTTTTTTGGAGAGGTTTTTGCTATAGGGCGCGTGCACTCGCCAGACAGACAGAGACAGAAAGAAAGCGAGAAATCACCCCCTGGGGGGGATGGCCATGCTGCAATCCCTTCTCCTCTGTTCTCCTCTTGGGATCTTGGGCACGCACGCGCGCGTGCCCAGTGTGATTTTTAAGTCACCGGGCCTGGGATGTAAACTGCGGTCGACTACATGGGAGTCCAATGACATAGCCATTACGCTAACTGCTGGTCCCATGCTCTTTATTATCTTTGATGTATGTATTCTTTTAAAATAAAATAAAATGCACATATAGAGAAAAGTACAAAACAGAAAAGTAAAGCTCAATAAATCATCGCAGAATAAACAACTGTAGGACCATCGCAGAGGTAAAGAAATAGAATATTTCCAGAATCCCTGAAGCCCTCTATGCTCACTTTTAGTCAATAATCCACATCCCCCCACCAAGGTAACTATTATGCTCACTTCCACAGTGACTATTTTTATCTTCTTTTCATCCTTTCCTCTGTGTGTGTGTGTGTATGTATATGAAAAAATTTTTATTGCCTGAGGACATGTACAAGAAAGAGTAATAGAAAGAAAGAGACGGAGAGAAATAGCGAGGCGCCCCCACACACTGGAGCGTGGTCATGCTGTAATTGTTTTCCCTCCATTTCTCCTTCCCATCAGGATTTTGGGCATGTGTGTATTTTTAAGCCACCCTGGTCAGGCTCTCAACTGCTGTCAGACATCTGGGATCCAGTTCCTGATATACTGTGTTTAATCACTGTGACACAGGGCCAGCCCTCAGTTATAGTTTTATCACTAACAGGTGAGTTTCCTAATGCTATAGTTCAGCTTTATCTAATTACAAATATTTCATAAATATAAACAAATAATATCTCTTTGTGTATCTCATTTCTTTTACTTTATATTTTCTTATGAGTCATCTATGTCAGTGCCTACGACTGTTGTTTGTTCTTTTTCCTTCCATTATCTGAATAAA